AACCGAACCTCAGAGCACAAGTGAGCTTGTGTCCTTCCGGGCTAACTAGTACGATTCCAGTTCGTGAACCCGTGTCTCCTAATGACCTATCGACTGAGAGCCTCTAGATCTGAGGTTTTTGAGGTTCTATTTCCTTTTCAACTTCAAGAACATGGATGAATTCCGCCACAAAATCAACTAAGGCTTGTCCTTTGATGGTTGTTCTTAGCTTGTAAGTGATATCGAACTCGCTGAGTTCCACAGCCCATTTGAGTAACCTCCCCGAGGCATCTGGCTTTTGAAGTACTTGTTTGAGGGGATAGTTAGTTAGTACGTGGATGTTGTTTGCCTGAAAGTAGGGCATCAACTTCCTTGAAGCAGTTACCAAGGATAGAGCCATCTTCTCTATGTCGGGATACTGAGTTTCTGCAGCCATAAGTGCTTCACCATCATAGTACACCGATAATTGATGATTATCCTCTTCTCTTATTAGAACAGAACTTAGAGCTTCGTAGGTCACTGCCAAGTATAAGTACAATACCTCATGGTCCTTTGGTTTGGAGAGGAGATGTGCTTGGCCTAAATGTTTCTTCAGTTCCTGCAAGGCCACCTCGCATTCTTCTGTCCATTAGAACCTATTTCCTCCTTTGAGAACTTTGAAGAAGGGTAAGCATTTGTCCGTTGCCTTGGAGATGAAGCGGTTCAAGGCTGCAACCTGTCCGGTGAGGCTTTGCACCTCTTTTGGCTTTTGAGGGGACCTCATTTCCATCAATGCTTTGAATTTTTCTGGATTTGCTTTGATGCCTCTTTGGTTGACAATATAACCGAGGAACTTGCCTGAATGCACACTTCAATGGGTTAAGCTTCATTCGGTATCTTCGCAGAATTTGGAACATCTCACTGAGGTGGGCGACGTGGTTTTTAGACCTTAAACTCTTTACTAGCATGTCGTCCACGTAAACCTCCATGGTTTTGCCAATGAGATCAGCAAACATCTTGTTAACCAACCTCTGGTACGTTGCCCCAATATTTTTCAATCCAAAAGGCATGGCCCTGTAGCAATAGAGCCATTTGTCTGTGATGAAGGAGGTGTAATCCTCATCTAGAGAGGACATTGGGATCTGATTGTACCCTGAGTAGGCATCCATGAAACTAAGAAGCTCATGTCCAGCAATCGAATCCACAAGTTGATCTGTCCTGGGGGGTGGGAAGCTGTCCTTGGGGCATGCCTGGTTTAGGTTCGAGAAATCTATGCATACCCTCAACTTCCCATTGTGCTTCTTTACTAACACTGGATTGGAGACCCACTTCGGATATACAGATTCTCGTATGAAGCCATTGTCGATCACTTTCTTGACCTCGTCTTTAAGGGCCTCGTGCCTTTCTGGATTGAGAGCTCTCCGCTTTTGCGTGTGAGCTATAACCTTTGGATCAACGTTTAAGCGATGGCAACTGTCTTTGGGGTCAATGCCTATCATATCGCCATGCTTCCAGGCAAAGATATCAAGGTTCTTGAGCAAGAAGTTTTTCAACTTCTGTTTTATTTCAGGCAGCAGATTACTTCCTACTTGCAGACATTTTGATGGACCCATGAGGTCGATCGGGAAGGTTTCCAGTTTTTCCATAGGGGTCGTTTGAGGCTCACTGTCGATAATACGAGGATCCAACTCCTCCAAGCTAGCTATTTTTTCGACAGTCACTCCTTCTTCAGGGGGCTGTATGGTGCCAAGATTTCTTCTTCAAGAGCTTTGGCCATGATGACATCTCCTACTTGTGCAGGGGTCATCCCTTGTTCAGGGAGGTCGTCTATGTTGATGTCAGCATAGATAATGTTGATGGTTCTTGGTTCCACTTTTCTTAGGGAGCTGGAATAGCATTCCCTAGTTCCTCATACTGTGGCAATGCCATTTTTAGTTGGGAACTTCATACACAAGTGATGGATGGAGGTTACTACCCATAATTCTTTTAGGGCGGGTCTTCTAATACCCCATGATAGGCAGATCGGTTGTCAACAATAAGGAATTCCATGAAGTGGCGGGCAGTCAGATGTTCTGTTCTCATCTCTATTGCTAAGGTGATTTTACTCCTTGGGATGATGCTATCTCCTACAAACCTATGCAATTGAGAGTTCATCGAGGTCAACTCATGATCAACTTTCTTTTTGTCAAAAGTATTGCCAAATATGATGTTAACGGAGCTTCTATTATCTACCAACATCGTTTCAGGCCGTGGCGGACCACGACAGCCCTCACAATCAGGGCGTCACATTGTGGATAATGAACCCCCATTATATCCTCCTATTTGAAGGTAATTGGGGAAATGGATCTCTCACTCGATGATTGGTTCACTATATAGCTCATCATGGCTGGGTTATTTGCCTTCCAGCAATAGTTCTTTTGAGAGTTTCTGGACTCCCCACCGACATAAGGACCTCCGATGATTGTATAGATCTCCCTAACGGGCTCCTGTTCGTCGTTAAGTGGGAGGCTTCACCTTTGCCTTTGGCCCTCCCTGTGCTTCTCAGTATCGTTCTCCCTTTCTCTTATAGGATCGTCCATGTTAGGTCGACGCTGTTCATTATTTTTAGGCTGCAAGTTCGGCCTATACGGAGCATTCCTTGGGAGACACCTCCATCCTGCCTGGTTTTGGTTTTAGGAATTTCTTGTGACGTCCCAACAATTCTCCGTACGGTGTCCATGTGACTGATGATAGGAAAAATAGTTGGGTTTTTCGTCCCTATTTCTAGGTTCGATACTTCGCCCCCTGTGTTGAGTGTCGCTGCAGCAAGCTCATATTCATGGTTCAGTGGGCCTGATGGTCCATCAGGCGAGAGGCTAGGCCTTTCCTTCTTTGCATTTGAGGAGGTGGGAGGCCCTGACCCGCCCTATTTCTATGATCCTTTAGTTCTTCGTTGAGGATCTCTCGCTTTATCATTTCCAACAGGGCATCGTAAGTGGTGGGATCTTTGTTTTGCACATCTTTCTAAAAGAGGAAGTTCATGTCTAACCCTTCTCTTAAAGCAATCAGTGCCTCTTTATCCGTGACTTGTACGCAGTAGGTCAGTTCATTAGTGAAGCGGGACAAGTAGCCCTTTAGCGTCTCTACCTGTTGTTGTCGCATATGTTGAAGTCATTGGATAGGACTTTCTCCTTCTTTACTGGTTGCGAAACGTTTTAGAAACGTCTTCTTTATGTCTGGCCAACTTCAGATACCTCCCTCAGAGAGCCTCGTGTACCAGACTTTGGAACATCCACTTAGCTTTAAGTGGAAAGCCCTATACTTCATTGCTGAGGTGGCCCTTTTGAAATTCATATGAGTCTTGTAGTTGTTCAGGTGTTTCGCGGGATCATCTCTCCCATAGTACTTTGGGATTTTAGGGAGTGCGAAGAGATTCAGCATGGGAGCATTTCTGATTGCCTTTGAGAAGGGAGTGGTCATCGTCATCGTCAAGATCACAGGACCTCTGAGGCCATTCTTAATCTTCTCTCTCTCTCCGTTTTGGGACTGAGGTAACGGTGGAGAAGTTCCTACTTCCTTTCTAACCTAGTCTCCTCTTTCCCGCCTATTTCTAGGGGGACGGATGGGAGGCTCTTCCTGACACATTGGTTGAATTTCATGTTGGTGAGATTTCTGCTACCTATCTCTAAGCATTGGAGGTGGAGCGTGAGCAGACCTATTTCTAGGTATTTGAGGTCTAGATGTCCTGTAACTTATCCTATCAAAAACACTTCCTAATCTCTGAGGTCGAATTTCAGGTTCGTAATTTGGAAGGAAGTTGAATGGGTTCCGTATGGCCTTTCCGAGGCGTAGTTAGCCGATGTTTCTATCTCGGCTTCTCTTTTTCGTGGAGCCCCCACTCCAACATGTGGATGTTCAGCCATTTGACTCTGAACCTCCTCCTCTCGGTAATATCCTTGTGCCTCGGGAAAGATGTTTTCTATGGCTGTTTATGGAGGGGCATACCCTCATTGCCCTTGCATGTTCATTAACATCTCTTACATGGCTATGTTCTGCTGAGTTATATTCTTCATGTTGGAGACCATGGTGGCCATTTCCCTTGTGAGATGTCCAGCGACCCTGCCTCCACCTCTGGATCCTCGCCTGCGTGCTAGAGGTCATGGTCGAGCAGTTGGTGCAGCTTGTGAGGGTTCTCCTTCTTCAGGGTAGTCCTTTGTCCTTCTTGGGGCATTTTTATCGGTTGAACTCATTTCTCGATATCCTTATCACGGGACCTTCTCTTTATTCAAGGGTTCTGCGATCCTTTCCACTCCTTTTCAAGGAAACTCATTTTTTCAAAGATAAGAACTTGCTTTACTCCAACCTTTCAAATGCAGCCTGACTTTCTCCCCACACGTGTTCGTGGTTAAATGTATGAATTCCCACAGACAGTGCCAATCTGTTGACCCCAAAAAATGAACTCAACAGATATCGGGCCCACCCTTACATTCCAAATTAAATTATATATGGAAACCAAAAATAACCCTATTTCGTATAGATTAAAAGATCTTTAGTGGATTTTGAAAATAACTGATGAAATATGTGGTTAAAAATTCACGAATCCTATAAAATATGTTATTAAAATTAATTTTTAATTTTGACTTAAAACTTTAACCTAGAACAAGCAGTAGTTTAATAATTTTATAACATTAAAAAATTTAATTTCAAAAATTTAAACCCTAAAATTCAATTCAGCCTCCCGTCATTCACAAACTACATATCTTCGCTCTGGCCTTTGCTACTCTCCGCTGTTCCCAGCTGCCAAGGAGCGATACGTGGTTGGATTAGTTTCAACAGGTTGTGGCTAAGTGCTCTGTTCTTGGGAAAGGTCATCAGCCCCTTAATGATAAAGACATCGATCAGTTCATCGTAAAAAATTATTTTATTTTCTTAATCCTTGTACATTGTACACTTATTTCTTATATTGTTTTTATATCTGCTTTAAATCTCTGTCTATGTGATTTCAAGGCTTAAGTGTTTTAGTTTTCTGGGTTTTGTGAAATTAAAGAGTTTATACTGTGAAAATGTTGATTTTCGAATGGAAATTGAATGTGAGGAATTGCAATTTCAGTAGGTATGTGAGGTTCAATACTATGCATGCTATAGTTCTTGATGTGCTCTTGATTTTCCCTGATCTTTTGGAGTGGACTTTTAATCCAAGAGATGGGGTGGGCTTGGAATTGATGATGAGCTTGGAGAGCACCGTGCTCTTGTTCCTCTTGGTGTGCTTGATTTATGGCTCTTGTACTCATTTGGTAATTTCAGCAATTTTTCTTCTTCATATTGATAAATTTTAAGTAGTGATACTTGTATCTTTATCCTGCCATGAAAATTTGAGTCTAGTTCTGTATTCTGGACAAAGGAAGAAGGTTCAAATGATAATTGCATTTCGTTTTATGGGATTCAGACATAGAAGGGATAATTGATGTTAACTTGAGGATACTCTTGGTTGATTGTGTTGAAAGGATTTAAGGTACAATATTCAACATGCAATGTATCTATTCTGTTATGATCAAGTTTTATTTTTGGTATGTTTATCTTTGGACTCGTCTCTTTGTTTCAGTTTGGATACTTGGATGATGATCTGTGCATTTATGAATACAAGTAACAATGACTTCTTGAATTAATCATAGCTAACCTTGCGATTCCCCGATGTACTTCTTGAATACAACTTTTTGCAGTATTATTCAACTTTTGTTTACATTAGGAATGTTTCTTTTCTCCTTGAATCCAGCTGTGATTGATCATTTTTTATTCACAACTTTCTTGGAATGGAAAGATTTCCAATTATATGAGTAGCCTTCTCTTTTTTATTTTTTATTTTTATTTTTTTTGGATGCAAAGCCTATTTGGAGTTAAATGATTTCCACTACAATAAATTATAGTTTACTTTGGTTACGTTGCTTGATATATTTGGCCAACTCTTAAAGAGGTTTTTCTTGCAAGTTCTCGTGGAAGCAAGTCTCCCAATAAATACAGACTTTAGACGTTAAAGCAACTGGAGAAGGTTAGTTCAACATCAAAGTGACATTTTATCATCAATACTCTGTTTGGATATAATCCGTTTGCTCCTCTGGTGAGACTGTAGTCATATATAATCTGTGATGTCGTAATTTTTTATTTGAACAGGAAAAGATTTATATGGATAACATAGATGCTAGCGTTGCTGCCTTGAGGAAGCTTGCTGAGGAATGGAAGCTTTCAGGAAAACAGTCTTCTCTTGAAGCACTTAGGGGATGTCTAAAAAGTTTAAGGGGAAAGATTAGTGACTTGTATATTTTTCTAATACTTTTTGTCGTTACTAGCTAGCAGTGAGCTTTTAAAGATGTGTGATAGAATAATGTCTTTGAACTTTATTTGCAATTCTTGCATTTTATACGTACTTGTGAAGTATAAACTTGTAATTCATTGAACTTGCTCATTTTAATGGGAGTTTAATTTTATTTTTGAACCGTAATTTCTACTCTCCAATTTCTCTAAAAGATTGGCAGATTGAGTTTTTAATCATAACTAGTGCTAAATGATATATTATAATTAGTATTCAGTACATTAACTTAATGGTGAATTTATAATTGTGCTTTAGCTTTGCACATTGAATTTAGTAATAGGAAATATCAGGCTATGATTGCTTGATCAGTTATTTAGTGTAGGATCACAGGATTATGATTTATTCACTTAATTAAAATAGAGACGCTGCAATCTTTTCCAGTTGTTGTACTTCTATTTGTCAAAAAAATTGCTAGTGATTCTTACATGGGCCATATTCTTGTGCATTTCCTCATTTAATGACTAGACTTGAAGTAGTTATCAGCTTCTTAATTTTTATTTTTATTTTTTTTATTCTTTCTACCTCTAATTGGAATTCCACTTCATTGTATGTCGCTATTCAACAGAAAAATCTATTGAAGCTATTGTTTGATATGCATAATAAATACCAAAATTCCACATTCTACACATTCTTAAATGTAGGTACACCTTATTTTGTTTGGTGAGGAGACTCAGGAAGAGAAGAAG